ACCAGACGTATGAGTTGACACTTGGATTTGGTTCAAGTTCAGAAGGCCATAAAAAAGAATCAAGATCGACGTATGAACACCAATGTAGCTGCTTTTTGAAGGTTATGTTTTGGTCATGTTGATTCATCCATATCTGAAAAAGGCACTTTCAATAAGTACGTATATACACGTCTACGCCGGGGAGTTGGTTAAATAGAAAGATTAACTATGTTCTGTAGTCTTGGATGAACTTCATCTCTAAATGTAAAACTGTAATGAAAGCAAGTTGAAATCAGTCCACTATCTTTCAATATTTACGACACGGCAATTCAATAGTAATAAAGGAAAGGACACCATGGAGAGCCATAATCGCCCACGTCTTTCAGGCGGATAATATTACAAATAATACCAGTAATATGTGTTAAATTTAGGTGAATATTTCAATTTCGAGCGTTGATTTAATAAATCAACGCCATAATCGTCATATATTCGTCCACCCGTATTTAGTTTTGGCAAACATTACTAAAAAAAAAAATATAATTGTAACATGATTTGTTTATTTTCCGGAAAAAGAAAATAAAATTCATTTAGCATATTTAATGGCATGGAAAATTCCTGCCATTTACATTTCATACTGTTGCATTATTTTGCTCGATGCAAATTCTGATCGCGTCTGGGTAAACATTAGTTTCTTTGATACATAAACGTCGTTTGTAAAAGCCGGAAGTTATTTTGAATTGATTTTGTTTGTTTTTTTTTTTTAATTTGGTGGGTGGGATGTGGGTAAGTAGTTTATATGCCATCAAATACTGTCATTTGCATGGTGATTAACAAGCATATTGAATATTAATTAGATCTATTCACAGTACAAACGACCTAAAGCTTTTATACAAACATCTGTGGAACTATTTATCATTGAAAAGACTATGATGAACCTTAGTTCTGGGTGAGCTTTATTTTAAATTATAATATGATAAAGTTTACTTGTGAACTACAATAAGATGAGTTTTAGTTTTAAATTATAATACAGTTTGAATTATAATTTGATGGGCATTAGCCTTGAACTACTGTATGATGAGCCTTAGTTTGGAAGTACAAGATAAGTCTTAGTTTTATATTAAAAATGATTAGCCCTAATTTTGAACTACAATAAGAACTTTAGACTTAAATTACAAAAAGATGAGACTTATTTTAAATTACAATTTGATGAGCCTTATTTTGAATAACAATTTGATGAGCATTAGGGAACAACAGTATGATGAGCCTTAATTTGAACTACAATAAGATGATCATTATTTTTAAATTACAATATGATGAGGCTTTTTCTGAATTACCATTTTGTGTGACTTAATTTTGAACTACAGTATGATGAGCCTATTTTGAACTACAGTAAGATGAGTCTTAGTTTTAAAGTACTATCATGGGCTTTATTTTGAATTACGATTTTGTGAGACATAATTTTAAATTACAGTATCATGAGACTTAGTTTCGAACTAGAATAAGATGCGCCTTAATTCTTAATTACAATATGATGAGCTTTATTTTGAATTACAACTTGGTGAGCTTTAGTTTTGAACTACAATAAGATGACCCTTAGTCTTAAATTAAAATATGATGAGCTTCGTTTTGAATTACAATTTGTTGAATACTTGTTTTGAACTAAAGTATGAAGAGCCTTAGTTATGAACGATAGCATAATGGGCCTTAAATTTGAACTGCAATAAGATGAGCATTAGTTCTAAATTACATTATGATTAGCATCATTTTCAATTGCAATTTGGTGAGCCTTAGTTTTTAACTCAAGAAACTTAAGATCAATTTCGCTTCTGAAATTACAGGGTCTTAGAAGAATATATACCCGATGTCATAACGTGCCAAGCACTAAAACGAAGGTTCGAAATGGGAAAAAATGTCTATTGCCCTAAAATATCCAAATATCTACCTAACTGTCTTTTAGTGAAACTTTTTCTTTAGCATATATACATATATCGAGCTGCATATGTCGATCTAATCACGTGTCAGGCTTAGCGTCCGTCAGTATATATGGAGCTATGTGACAGTTTGATCGGATATATCTCTTTGATTGATTGTGATGAATTTATGTTGAGGTTGCGAACGGATGGAGAGGCGCAATGCGCACGAACACACATATATGTGCAAAGAGAGAAAGACAACGCAAACGCCGGGTGAAATGGCGAAGAAGAGACGAGAGTTACAACGAGAACGACGGCGAGAACAAGAGCGTGAGGAAACGAGATATGATCTGTTATATCACATTACTGGTTGACGAGTCGAGATCTAGAATCCATTGTCCCTTCCATATTGGTCAGGGCACTCACGTCCAGAGCGGGGCACGGGACTAGCACTAATGTTCAGTAATGATTAATGGATCTCTGATGATAATCTCCTAGTAAATTTATTGGAGGGAATAGTTGGGGGGGATAGGTCTGTAGGGAGAGTCTGTTTCTCTGATATTGAACGCATCAAGTCAGCGTGACAAAGGAAGGGGAAAGGATGGTAATATCCTAGTGCAGGTGGAGAAGCAAAGGGTTTAAGGTTGAGGAAAAATAGGGAAGAGGAAAGGGGGGTAATAATGCAGAGAGCTAACAGAAAACAGAAGATGAATATTTTAGAAAATGATAAACGCAACGTAAAAAGAATAATCGAATAAACGAAAAAATGGTGTAAAAATGCAAGAACTTTTGATCAAACAAGAATTGTTAACGATTTAGAAAATATACTTTTTCTTTTCAAAACCGTAAACAAATGAAATCTGTTACGACCAGCATTTGCGTTTCACTATTATTACAACAAGCAATTAATGTCCTTCGCGTCATGCCTTTTTAAACAAGCGTTCTGAAATATATTTGAATTTTCTTAAACTTTTGTCTATACACATGTAGTTATTAGTTCTACGACTTTTGATCCTAAAATGCGCTCCACGCGATTTCATTACGTACTTCTAGATTTGTTTTATTTACGATAAGCTTGTTATAAAATTTCAAAATTTTACTTAACTCATTTTTTTTCTCTTTTTTTTTCCTTTTTTCTTTCGTTAATACATATATATATATATATATATATATATATATATATATATATATATATATATATATATATATATATATATATATATATATTGTTTTGGCATACAAACACATATATATGAGTCTGTGTGTATGTGTGCGTGTGTATGTAGGTTTAAAATTTAGGAGATCAGCCAATTCCGCTACCTTGGTTTCAACCTTTTGGTATCTCTTCAGGCGATTCAGGGCAATTGATTTCTCAGTAAATCAATTGATCCGAAAGGTTGAAAGTAGTGGAATCGGCTATCTTAATTTTTATATATAAATGTTAATTTTTTTAATTTTATACGTGTATTGAACACTTTTTAATATTACTGTTTCCGGGTCTAATTCAACTCTAACCATTACCTTTATTATTATTATTATTATTATCATTATTATTATTATTATTATTATTATTATATGCGCACGTGCGTGTATGTAAGCATGCAAATATTTTTGCTTTTGTAATCAGGGGCTAACAGGGAACTTGTTAATTTTCTTGTCTATACCTTTTTTTTTATCGTACCCACAGCTCCAATTATTAAAGATATACAAGTTTTAAGGTCCCATTTTTCAATTTCAATTTCAATTTGAAGTTCCTTATACCTCCCCGTATTTTGAGATATTTTTATGTTTTATATGTTTTATCTGATTGCACTGTCACATCTACGAGGAGGCATTTTTTATTTGTTTGTACTGGTCTGTTAGGTTTTAAACATCTGTCTGTCTGTATGGCAAAATCGCAAAGAATAGTAACTTTATGGCCTTCTATGAGTGATTCAAGGTAATGTTAATGCCCGTTTTCAACATTGCAAAGTTAGCATAATATTATATATTATTATTAGTATTATCATGGTTGTTGTTGTTGTCGTTGTTGTTGTTGTTGTTGTTGTTGTTGATGATGATGATGATGATGATGATGATGATGTTGTTGGGTTATCTTTATTTTGTTTTGATCCTTTTCTCTCTATCATCGGTTTTCTCTCTTTCTCTCTATCTCTCTCTCTCTCTCTCTCACACACACACACTCATACATGCACACTTTAGACTTCCTATATCTTTCTCTTTTTCTTCGCGCTTCCAGATTTCTTGTTCCTTCCCAAGTCTCTCTCTGTCTCTCTCCTTCTGTTATTTTTCCTCTCCCTTTCTCTTTCTTTCTCTCTGTCTCTCTATTTGCCGTTCCTTTTTTTCTCTTTCTCTTTATCATATCTCTCTCTTCACGCAGATTTTTTGCCTTCTGTATCAATCATTTCCGATTCCTTGTATTCTTTTAAGACATTTTATAATTTATAAAGTAAATATTCTCTTTTGAAGATCATTTACTTTGTAATTTTTCAAGTGTGTCTTCTTTCAAAGTTTGATATTGTTTCTTGATGTGGCTGTGATGGTCCATCCATCATTTTATATAGAAACCAGGTTATTATTATTATTATTATTATTATTATTATTATTATTATTATTATTGAGTCTTCAAGTCTTCCTTTCATATTTTTGTCACTTCCATGTTTGCATATTCTATACATTGTTCCTGATGCATTTTTGTGCTTTTTGTGAAGATTCTCTTCCAATTTTGTAATGTAGGTACAATTGTCACATTTCATTCATCATAAATTTCCGAAACTGCACTTTCAGTTATATTTCTTACCTTGCGTCTTTTGATAGATAGATAGATAGATAGATAGATAGATAGATAGATAGATAGATAGAAACAGACTGTGATAGATAGATAGATAGATAGATAGATAGATAGATAGATAGATAGATAGAAACAGACTGTGATAGATAGATAGATAGATAGATAGATAGATAGATAGATAGATAGATAGATAGGTGAACATTATTAGATAGATATACAGAGAGATGACATTATTAGATAGAGAGAGATGAACATTATTAGATACATAGAGAGAGAAAGATAAACATTATTAGATAGAAAGGGAGAGATTAACATTATTAGATAGATAGATAGATAGATAGATAGATAGATAGATAGATAGATAGATAGATAGATAGATAGATAGATAGATAGATAGATAGAAACAGACTGTGATAGATAGATAGATAGATAGATAGATAGATAGATAGATAGATAGATAGATAGATAGATAGCTGACCACTCGTATTCGAGGATACTCGTCTACTAAAGCGACTAGCCAATCCCTATTTAGGACGCTCGCTCAGTCACATTTGTGTCTGTTCAACAACCACAGAGCCAACCTGTGGTTTAAACTGCAACTATGTTGAGCAGACCTTAGTTACAGTTTCTGGGTGAGAGCGTGTCATCTAACGTGATCAAAAAATCTGAACAAGGCCAGCACACTCAAACACTGGTCACGATGACTTGTGACTTCGTGCTAGCACAGCTATCGACGGCCCGCAAGTGTTCCTTCTACCTACCCATCGAGATAGATAGATAGATAGATAGATAGATAGATAGACACATACATACGTACAGACTCTGATAGATAGATAGATAGATAGATAGATAGATAGAAACAGACTGTCATAGATAGATAGATAGATAGATAGATAGATAGATAGATAGATAGATAGATAGGTGAACATTATTAGATAGATATAGAGAGATGACATTATTAGATAGAGAGAGATGAACATTATTAGATACATAGAGAGAGAAAGATAAACATTATTAGATAGAAAGGGAGAGATTAACATTATTAGATAGATAGATAGATAGATAGATAGATAGATAGATAGAAACAGACTGTGATAGATAGATAGATAGATAGATAGATAGATAGATAGATAGCTGACCACTCGTATTCGAGGATACTCGTCTACTAAAGCGACTAGCCAATCCCTATTTAGGACGCTCGCTCAGTCACATTTGTGTCTGTTCAACAACCACAGAGCCAACCTGTGGTTTAAACTGCAACTATGTTGAGCAGACCTTAGTTACAGTTTCTGGGAGAGAGCGTGTCATCTAACGTGATCAAAAATCTGAACAAGGCCAGCACATTCAAACACTCGGTCACGATGACTTGTGACTTCGTGCTAGCACAGCTATCGACGGCCCGCAAGTGTTCCTTCTACCCACCCATCGAGATAGATAGATAGATAGATAGATAGACACATACATACGTACAGACTCTGATAGATAGATAGATAGATAGATAGATAGATAGATAGATAGAAACAGACTGTGATTGATAGATCCATACATAGGGACATACATACACTACATACAGATTGTAATAGATAGACAGAGAGATTCTATTTATTATTGCAAAATACAATAATTGTGGCACATGGCCTTAAAGTGGGGGTTGGAGTTGAGGTTGGTCACTGTTGAAACTTGACTAATGCATGGAATAATAATGCAACACGAAAAATGTACTTAGAACAAAATGTATTGAAACAAGAAAGTGTACACAATATTTACATATAGTCTTTTGTATATTCCTGGTAAGACCGTTCCTGGAGAATGTGTTGACTGAGTCGCAGTCGGGCAGTGTCTCTGGTTGAATCTCTTGATTCCTTCCTCTCTTCCCGGTACCAACCATATTTATATGGTCGGTACTCCACTATGCAAATTAGGTGGATCATACCACAACAGTCACCTTACCTATCCTATACCTAGCTAAACCGATTCACGACCCATTCATTCTATACAAATAACCCATTCACCAAAAGAATTCACCCTTCACCTTTTACTCCTACATATACCACAATACCACATTCACAAACGGACCATAAAAATTAAACCCATGGTTTAAAATTATGTACAAATGTTCATAAAATATATTTATATATATATATATAAATCTGACGATGATGTGAAATGATGGGGAGGGTTCTGAATCCCGATACAAAAATTATATATAAAACAAAAAGTAACAGAAAATAATTAATGTTATTAGGGCCCGTCCACCCCACAAAAATCAGAGTTGCCGCTGTATTCTGTCATCAGACAGAATCAAGAGGCTAACTCTCTAACGGAATGGGGGAGGTGTAAAATAAATGTAGGGCGTGGGGAAGTCAAAGACTGAACCAGTCGAGATAAAAAGGCGGCCGAAAACAAACTGGGGAGGTTGGGAATCTCAATTTGGCTCATAACCGAAGTAAAGCGCCGGGAACAGGCCAGGAACGACACTCACTCACGTTAACTAGGTACACAAAAGGGGGATCTACCTTAACCAGGGGGGGAGGGTTCGCAGGAAACCGCCCCGTTGTGACGAGAGGGGACTTAAAAAAGGAACTTTCACACGAACCAAACTCGCTACTTTTACCCACCTTTCGTTGAAATCTGTTGACACCAAACGCTTTCTATCAGTTCTGATCTTCACTTTCAGCTGATGCTGAAAGTAGATAGATAGATAGATAGATAGATAGATAGATAGATAGATAGAAACAGACTGTGATTGATAGATAGATCCATATATAAGGATATACATACATACAGATTGTAATAGATAGATGGATAGATAGAAAGAAAGAAATAGATTGTGATGGATAGTTAGATTCATACATACGTACATACATATATACATAATGTGATAGATAGATAGATAGATTTGTATACTATAACAAACAAAAGTATTCATTTTCTATTATCTTTATCTAATATGCAAGAAAACTTCATGTCCGTTTCTTTTTGTTTTGTTAAATTCCAGTCGATATCGAGTTTAAAAACTAATTCTTTCTGATTTTACATCTTAGTGAAAATTAAAAAAAAAAAACACCCTGTGTTGTAAATGTGCCAACTCTCCAATGCATGCTAGTGTATCTGCTGAAAGTTTCTGAAAGTGTCAGAGAGAGACGTAGAATGTTTGTATCACATCAAAGTCGATTCCAATAACTTGTTTCTCTATTTGGCAAGCAAGAAATAAATAGTAAACACGCTGAGCAGGTGTCTTCTGGCGGCATTTGGCACGTGGAGAGAGAAATCAACCGGGAGGTAGTGAGAGAAAGTATTACACAAACAAGTACACATTCGCATATGCACGTATGCGCACACATACGTGGAAACTGAATTATGCAAATTATACTTTTATATACTAGCATCGATACACAGAGTTGCGTGAGACCAGTTATTTTTGTTTGCTTCGCCATCGCTTCATGTTTAGTAGATTTTCGTATATCGTGAAATATTATTAACTAAATTGTCATCATTAAAGCTTTTCGATAGATTTAGACATTTTGGTGGCTGTTTAATTCATAGACGGCATCTTATAATATAACAATAATAAAAATTTTGTCGGCCTTAAATAACTCACTGAGGTTGATATGCCGTAAAACAAAACAAACCAAATCAAACCAAATTAGGAAAAATGTCAATGTATACTAAGAGACATAAGTTAAAATTGTTTACTTCTTTTTATACATGACATATATCGTTTTAATATAAAACTGTGATTGAAATGCTCAGGCAGTTACCGCTTTTCGACTTCATGATTTTATTTGAATGGCAATGGTGTAGTAATGGTAATGGTTTGGATGTGCGGGTGGTGTAAGGATTAGCAAAAAAGAAATCGACGTTGTGAGTTCTAATTCTGGTTGAGTTGGTTACGTTCACTTCTGCACGAAGACACTTGGAAAAGTATGAATTTCTCGCTCCCCCACCCACCGAACTCCCAAGCGTATGATAATTGCACACTCTCTTGCCTTGGATGGTAACACAGATTTCTCATTTTAACAGATATATTTATCAAAATTATACAAAAATATCTTGAAATACTAAATAGTAAATTTATTCAATAAAATCACCATGTGCTTCAACCACGGTCTTCAGACGATTTCGGAATCTCCTGCAACTCTTCTGGACGATTTCCTTATTTAAGTTGGGGAAAACTGCCATAATCATTGCCTTCTGCTCATCTTTGGTGTTACAAGGAGTTTTGTTGCTCTCTCGCTCAACTGTGCCTCATTCATCATAATCAAAAGAGTTGTAGTCCCGGGGAGGCGGGTAGCTGGCCAGATTTAATGGCGGATGTGGTCGTAGAAACTGTCTGACTGATGTTGTTCCCCTGCTTGTGTGACATGGTGCAGAGTCCTGTTGCCAAGCATACCGTCTTTCAGCAGCGACCCTCTTGATCCAGGGCAGCTCTACCTCCTCAAGGCACACCGTGCTGAGTTTGAGGCCCTATGGGAAGATGAAAGGAGGCATAACGTCGTCATCACTCCAAAGGCCTTCGTAAAACTCATTAGACTCAGTCAACTCTTTCTGAATCTCAGATTGAGACCCAAACACTCGTACTGGAGCTTCGTATTGGCGCTTCGAAATCAAACAACGGGCATGCGCGAAAATTAAAATATAAAATAGTGACAATTTACCCATCGCACCATATATATATATATATATATATATATATATATATATATATATATATATGGTGGTACTCATTTGGAGAAACCTCGGATAGCTCAACTTGCAGTAGAACAAATCAGTACCCGAGGCAAAATGGGGAATAAAAAAAGAAACAACCAAGAACATTAAAACAAAGTGAAAACAATCGTCCAAAGAAAAAAGAAACCCCAAAACGAGTAAAAACACGAAAACTTATATAATCCTAAGGAGCCAGGCAAACCTACCTCGGTTTCACCTAAACAGATCTTCCATAATTTTCATTTTCAGCCGGCTTTACCCTGAAGATCTGTTTAGGTGAAACCTAGGTAGGTTTGCCTGGTTTCTTAGGATTATATATATACATATATATTTATTAAAGACATTTTTATGTTTAACTTTCTTTTTTATAGATACAAGTATTTAAGTAAATGCTCTGTTTATAATAAACAGTATTAAATAACATTTACCGGCCTGAATGTACGAGAAATTTTCATAGAAAATATTCGTCCTTTCACAGGATTCGAACCTGCATCCTATACGGAACCGTCATTTACGCTGACGTGCCTTACCGTCTCGGCCACAAAGGAGCGTTCGGTAGGCAAGGTCGAATTTAAAAATGTCTTTAATAAATAAATTGTCGGACTTTGTACATTTCTTAATATATGACGTCATTTGTTTACATTTGATACGCCAGAGCAGTTATGAATGCACGAGATTCATGGAAGATTGAAGTTTATAAGCAGTAAATTCGACCTTGCCTCCCGAACGCTCCTTTGTGACCGAGACGGTAAGGCACATCAGCGTAAATGACGGTTCCGTATAGGATGCAGGTTCGAATCCTGTCAAAGGACGAATATTTTCTATGAAAATTTCTCGGACATTCAGGCCGGTAAATGTTATTTAATACTGCTTATCATAAACAGAGCATTTGCTTGAATACTTGTATCTATAAAAAACAACGTTAAACATAAAAATGTCTTTAATAGATAAATTGTCGGGCTTTGTCCATTTCTTAATATATATATATATATATATATATTGTTGTTATGATCAGGAAAGTAATGTGTCTTATACACGCTTTCTATTTCTAAAGCAAATGTCCTCTAAGATCACCCCTAAATAACACATATAGACTATTTTTCAGTACCACAGTAACAAGCCGTCTAGATGTTTATAAGACGCCGGCTTTATAGTCATGTATTTGTTTTGGGTTACTGTTTACTATTTACAAGTTGGAAGAGTTTTTATTATTATTATTATTATTTTGATTTCTTTGTAGTTAACTATGCACACATGCCAAACATCAACCCTGGTGCTTTGCTAGTGAGTTCGAATCACATAAAAAAGCCCTCACTATATACACCAGACCAAGTTACCAGTCTTATCTACGTTGAAAATCTATGCATACATTTAAGGATGTATGCATCTGTTTGCGCTCTCAGTGCACATAACTGCTTTTCTGAATAAGTGCGTGGGATAATGCATTTGCTACCTACCCAGCTGAAAAGCGGGGAGAAGATTCAGGGCAAATATCGAACATTCGGTTTTTAACATAAACATCAGTGCATATGTTGGCTGTTAGAAACTCACAGTCGCCGCCTAATGTGTTCATTCTCACCGGAAATGCTATGTCTACCGAAGAAGCTATATGTTCGCGCATGCGTATGGACTTTTCTTTAAACGTCTATTTTTAGACGCATCTGGCTGTTCAACCGCTGAAGTAGAGAATAGTGTTATTTTACTATTTGTGTTGTTTATGTATAGACGTAAGGATGAAAGAGTGAGAACGATTCAGACTTCGCATTGAATTCTGTGAAAACAGTCTGAAATGAAGTTGTTTCACTTTTAGTCTTTGACTTTTCATTCCTGAAACTTTCTTCGCGTTTCTTTTTCTGCTAAAGAATAAAATAATTTACCATGAAAACATTTGTCAAAAAGGTACAGACAAGATGCATGAAAGCGATGGGAAAGTCAATGAAGCCGAGGTGCCAGGTCAAGACCAATAACATTGTAGATTCTTCTTTGCATTTTATCAAGAATCTCTAAATAGATAGCAAAAAGCACCAGAACAGATGTGGTAGTAATATTCAAAGCATGGACAAATGGTATTCAAAGCATGGACAAATGGTAGACTTATAAATATGTTAGATATATTTTGATGAAAAAAAAAAAATCTAGCACGACGCAGTGTACCAACTTTCCTAGCAGAAGACCTAGCAATTGATTCAATATAATTATTCCACTTGTTGTCAGCAGAAAATATTAGTTCGAAAAAGCGAAATGCATCTCTCTCCTGGAGGTTAGCATCAGTCATACTTAAAAGGTTCTCTCAGACGGTTAAAAGAGAGCAGTTTCGTTTTGGAAACGTTAAAATAAACAAGCCATTCCTTGCCCCAGTTAACAACAGACTGTAGGTCATTAACAGACTGACTCCACTTGAAACCGGATATTTAAAGTTTTCAAGTGTACGGAAATCAAACGAAGTGGTGTCAGTATGAAAAACTATTACGACTTAAATGAGTTACTTACCAGAACGATATCTATGCTGACACAAAAATATACTCCTGACGTAATAATAGGTTTGATCGATTCGATAAGTTTAAATTGGCAGCTGATCTAAAAAATGACCTACAATTCTGTTAAAAAAACTGTCTTAAATGAAATAGTTTCACCTTTAGTCATTGTCATGTTATTCGTTCATCTTTCTTTGCGTTTCTTTTTCTATTAAAAAATAAAATAATTTAAACAATTAAATTTAGCTACTAAAATAAATAATATTACTTGAACACCTGAAGAGAAAAGATGACTTTAGATTTGTGCTACGTATCGCGATAGACTTGTATGGCCTAATAGATCAATGCATCGTCTATGAAAGATGAGTTCCCACAAAACATTATCGAGTAGAGGATCTTATTCACCGTTCTCTTGATGCTTCTTGAATGAACTTTGAAGATGAAAGCCAGAAGATAAATGTTGGTACCAATATATTTCCGTGTCAGCTATTAACACAGTATTATTCACGTATCCGCGAAAGAGGGTCTCTCAGACGATCCCATGCTGTTAAAATAGCTCCCACTAATTATTATTCCTGGTAGCATCTCCATCTCTCTTACGATAGCCACGCTGTAAAGATTAAATAAATGCGATGAGAAGACACCACATCATCTTACGTCACTTTTTTATTTTTATCTATTTAATTTTCTATTCGTATACAGGTGGGTCTCTTCCAGTATAAGTTCTGGATTATTCTAACATCCTTCCCAAATAAATCAAGTGCAAGAATAGATAATGTAAAGGGGTGAAAATAGAAAAGAAAAAAAATACATAACCAAATATTAATAGTAAATCTATTTACTTTTAAACATGTCGAAGTTGTTATTTAAAACTAGTCAGGTCAAGTGTTTTGATTGGTTCGTTTTTTACAACTCATGAACACTTTGCAGGTTATTTAAAGCCAGAAAATATCCGTTAGAATTTTTTTTTATATTATAATGATTTTCTGATACAAGTTTTACTAATGAACCTATAGTTGGGGAAGAATAGGTAAATTTATATCTTTCCCAGTGTTATTTGCGCGTAAGTGAATACAAAGACCCCAACTGGAATTAAAACTCGGCTCTCCGATTTTATAATTCATGTTGGCGCAA